ACGCACCCAACCGCTTGCGCCACCAGGCTGGCCCTAGGATTTATTTTTTGATAATACATGTAAAGTACTTAGCACAGTGCATGACACAGATTAAGTTCCTATTAAATTATCCTTCATACCACAAATATTTCTCGAGCATTTGTTGGGTGACAAGCAGTGTTCAACTCATCAGACATTCAACAGTGAACAAAACAAAGTCCTGCCCGTATGTAGCTTGTATTTTAGCAGAGGGAGACAGATGTTAAACAAATAAACTAATAGTCAAGTGGTGATTAGTTGCATGGACAGATTTAAAGCAAATCAAAGGGATAAGAAGTATAATTGGCAGGGCAGGGAGAAGGCTTGCCTTTTGGTACTGAGTAGCCAGGGAAGGCCTCTCTAATAAAGTATAATATGACCAGTATCCTGCAGATATGAAGGAGCAAGCCATATGGATATCCAGGTTAAGAGCAGAGACCCTTCCTCTCCTCTAGTGAAATGACAAATTACTGCCCTTGTTTCTAAGGGAAGAATGTCCTCAGAACCTTTCACTGATCAGGCTAAGGTGAAAGTCCAGGACAATGCATTACTTCCAGGATGAAGAGTTTGAAGATCTTGGTCTGGGTCTGGCTCTATCATTCATTGGTTATACAACTTTTTTAAAAAAGCTTTTTGGTGAGGAAGACTGGCCCTGAGCTAACATCTGTTGCCAATCTTCCTCTTTTTGTTGAGGAAGGTTGGCCCTGAGCTAACATCTGTGCCCATCTTCCTCTATTTTTTTGTATGTGGGATGCTACCACAGCATGGCTTGATGAGCAGTGCATCAGTCTGTGCCCGGGATCTGAACCTGCGAACCTCAGGCCGCTAAAGTGGAGCACGTAAACTTAACCACTGTGTCACTGGGCCAGCCCCGATTAGTTATACAACCTTTGACAAACCACTATCCTCTTTGTACCTCAGTTGCCGAAAGGATTCTGTCTATCTCACATCATTGTGAATATTCAGTGACTGACAAATTGTATGTGGAAGCATTTTGCAAATAAAACAAACAGCCCTAGAGATGTAGGATATTATAATTGTATCACTATTACAGACAGTGCTGTCCAACTTGGACTCAAAGGCATTTAGATTGGATTTTAGTAATTGCTTAGCTCAATTCCTCATTGTATGTATGAAGAAACTGAAGGCCAGAGAGATTTGGCTGAACTTATAGGTGTAAACATGGGGCTATAGAATATCATATGTAATTCCTTTGTGAAAGATTTGGTGATAATGTAGAGCTATGGTTTTCAGAGTGTGGTCCCTGTGCTAGCAGCATCAGCATCACCTGGAACTTGTTAGAAATGCAAATTCTTGTGCTCCAACCTAGACCTACTGAATTAGAAACTCTGGAGGTGGGGCCCAACAGTCTGTTCTAACAAGCCCCCTAGATGATTCTGATACATGCTAAATTTGAGAACTACTGATGTAGAGGTTGACATAATCCCTAGACTCATAAAGAATGATGCTGGAAGCCTTAATACTCCAGATCAGCCCTCAGCAAAATTGTGAGTAAATGGCTTTTATGGAGGCATTTTTTTATCTCCCTCTTTTCACTCTCTCAGAGTTGCCTTCCCTTCAGGCATATCTCAAGAGACGTCTTTCTTCAGATGCTTTCTTAGTTGGTTAACCAATAATTCTAGCTAGGTTGTTAGTTGAAGTTAGTATATTTTCAATTTAATAAGAGATTAAATAAAGTGAACACTCTCCAGGATGCCAAGGATTCAGTCTATAGTAGTAGGAGATTATAAATATAAGGTAGATAGAAGGTGAGGTAATGTTTTGGAGTAGAGGGATCTTGAGGTTTTGTCTGTTCTTGATATCTGTTTGGTTATTTGAACACTTATGAATTGAGTTGATGGAAAAACATTTAGGGTATTTCCAAGTATTGGTATGTCAATGGTCCCAGAATTCACTTTCAGTAACCATGGTTTTTAAGTCCTCAGAACATAGAAAAGTAAAGAAACTGGCCTATTACAAATTCCTAGGAGATTTTATTAGTGTAACTATGCCTGGCTGGATACCAAAAACACTAGGCCATTGTCATCTCTGCCTAGTTCTCTATGTGTACATTTTATTTATTTATTTTTTTAAAGAGACCTCAGTCTTTGTTTTTTGTGAGGAAGATCAGCCCTGAGCTAACATCCATGCTAATCCTCCTCATTTTAGCTGAGGAAGACTGGCTTTGAGCTAACATCTATTGCCAATCCGCCTCCTTTTTTTCTTCCCCAGTGCCCCAGTAGATAGTTGTATGTCATAGTTGCACATCCTTCTGGTTGCTATATGTGGGACGCGGCCTCAGCATGGCCGGGGAAGCGGTGCATCGGTGCGCGCCCGGGATCCGAACCCGGGCCGCCAGTAGCAGAGTGCGCGCACTTAGCCTCTAAGCCACGGGGCCGGCCCGCTATGTGTACATTTTAAATAGGTTTATCTATAGGTTAGAGAAAAAGTCCCTTGCCCTTTGTAACAAATTGTAACACAATCTTCTTCCCATCTCAATTTCTGTCCATCACAGTAAGTCTTAGTGTTACTATCAGGGAGGAATCAGACTTAAACTACCTCCATCATTCCTAATTCAGAGTTGTTCTTGGCGACAGCCTCCTGCCTTCTCCTTGTATGCATCCTGTTTGGGTTCTACTGTCTAGCATCAGTAGGTTATAAACAGTTCCCAAATCTCAGTGATCTCTCATGTTAACTATAAAGAAAAGACAAAGAGTATTATCAGCATTCTAGACTATCACGTGTGGTTTTGTTATATGAGGTTAGGAAATAAGTGTGTAGATCACTTAATCTGTGAGGAAGATGTGGAAGAGTATTAACCAGAATAGCTGTGACTCTAAATCCTTGCTGCTTTAGTCAGGGACTCTGGAATAATTGACCCATATATGATGAAATCCACTCTCAACTCTCTACATAAGCAATTATTCAGATAGTTAGGAGATGCTTTTGAGGTCAATAGGTTAACTCTACAGAGTTTAATTAAAATTTGATAATAAATGCCTACTCTAGGCAGGATATTTCATTAGTCTTCATCATGGCCTAGGTGAACTATGCCTTATAATTATTTTCTATGCCTTTTAAATCCTCTTCTTATGAAGCAGGCTTCTGATTACTAATTAAGATTTCCACACTGGGGAAGGAAATTTCCTGAAGCAGCCTCATCATTAGAAAGAGATATCCACCACTGTGAAAGAGTAAATTGGTATTTTACTATCTTACTTTTTAAATGTCCACACAATGAAGCAAAATTGTAAGCTTAAAAAAGTATCAAAAGGGGCTAGCCCAGTGGCGTAGTTAAGTTCGCATGCTCTGCTTTGGCGGCCCTGGGTTAATGGGTTCAGATCCTGGGCACGGACCTACACACTGCTCATCAAGCCATGTTATGGTGGCATCCCACATACAGGGTAGAGGAAGATGGGCACAGATGTTAGCTCAGGGCCAATCTTTCTCACCAAAAAAAAAAAAAAGGTATCAAGGGGCCAGCCCAGTGGCATAGTGGTTCGGTTCGCGTGCTCTGTTTTGGTGGCCCAGGGTTTGCAGGTTCGGATCCTGGGCGTGGACCTACACAATGCTTATCAAGCCATGCTGTGGCAGGCGTCCCACATATAAAGTAGAGGAACGTGGGCACAGATGTTAGCCCAGGGCCAGTCTTCCTCAGTAAAAAGAGGAGGATTGGCAACAGATGTGCTCAGGGCTAATCTTCCTCACACACACACACAAAATATAAAAAAAAAATCACTCTGGCAATGGCTATGATAAATTTTTGGTCACACTCTTTTCTATGTTAAGAAATAAATTCCCTTTCTGGTTCCTCCTTAAAATATATATGGTACTGAGAAAAATCAGGTTCCTTGATAAGCAGAATTGTATGTAGAAATTAGAGGGTCAACAGGAAGATTTATCTGAAAAGTTCTGTTGTTTTTCTTGGAGAGAGAGGAGGTTCAGAGGAAAAGAATTTCCCCCAAAGGAAATAAAATCTATAACCATAGAGTAACTGGGAAGTTTGAATGCTGTGAAACTGTTTAACTTCTTCAGTGCACTCCCAGTCCTTTCTTTATACCAGCCTTAGACTCTTGCTTTCATTCTGCATTCTCGTTCATTTCCATCACTGTCATCTCTAATTTGGACCATTTTAATAGTCTTAACAGTCTTCCTAGGCTCTAGTCTTTCCCATCCTGCTCCATCCTCCATACTACTGCCAGATTTGTGTCAACTCTCCTCCTCGTGCAATCTGACCAGTTTGATGCATGTCCTAATTCCTCAGCACTGCCTATGAGGCTGGACCCTTCACAGTAGGACTTAACTTCCGTCTCTGGCCTCATCTGATGTCCTTTGCTCATGGAGCCTATGCTAAACTATTCTGAAATCTCATGCTTGTTTTCTTTTCTTAGAATGACCAGCTTCTGTTCTCTTTCACCTGATAACTATCTACTAATCTTTTAGGAGCTAGCTCACAGTCTCCTTTGAGAAGCCTTTCTGGACTGCCCAGGTTAGCAGCTGACTCTGTGTTATCGCCACACTTTGTTGTCATACTTCTATCAGAGTGTGCATGTTGTATCATAATCTGTTTGAATTGCTGTCCCTGCTGGCTTGAGCTCCTCAACGGCAGGGATGATTGTCATATCCTGGGTGCCCATTTCTGTACATACACATACCTGGTATTTAGTAAAATTGGTTGAATGGAATTGAGGGTGCATTAGCCATCTTTGCATTTTCTCAGAGCACTTCATTTCATTTGCCTTCATTCAAGTTGGTTCACTGACCACATCCATTTTTGTCATCATCTCTGATTGCACACAGTAGCAGCTTAACAAATGTTGAATAAGTGAATTAGTTCTAATATCACTATAGAGTTTGTAATTAAGAGACACGTATATTTTTAGATTGCAAATTTCTCTGCAGACTTTATTTCCTTGACTTTACAGTGATATATGACAGTGACAAAGAACTTCACATTTTGTGCATTTCTTTGGTCACCTTTCAGCATTAGAAATGAATTACTCTTCAATTAGGACTTTTGTGTGAACCTCCCGGCTCTTCACCCGCAGCTTGTTGACCTGGGACTCGGCAATGTCAGCCCGTTCCTCGGCCTCCTCCAGCTCGTGCTGGAGCTTGCGGAATTTGGAGAGGTTGACATTGGATTGTTCCTCCTGAGAAAAGAAATGCATTTGAGAGAACAGGAAAATTTGACATTTTCTAGTTCTTATTGCCGTGGTTACTAGAGGCAGCTACAGGATTTGCCTCATGAATGAGAAAGCAAGAGCAAAAACCTTAAGGAAGATTTCAGAATTAACAGGATGAGAAAGATAACTGCAGCCAAATGAAAAGGAAATGTTCTGAGATGGATTTATCATGAAGTTAAAGAAGACTAAGGCCTCAGAGCCCTCATTTGCACAGCCCCTATGAGTGCTGGGAATTGCTGGGAGTTGTAGAGTGTTCTAGATAGGGAGGGAAGTGTGTTGTACCAAGAAGCATTTCTATACTAACATGTCTGGAAAATTGCTTAAAGAGGTCTCAGAAGAAATGAACCTGAATCTCTAAGGCTCCAGTAATTAGTGGTAAAATTTTTCATTCTAAGTGTTCATTTTCATACCTAATTTTGTATTCCCAATTTTGTGTTCTTTGCCTTAAAGAAAGCCTCTTAAATTCTATAAACTTCAGACTGCACAAAACCTAGACCTGCTTCTGAACCTTTCTCTCTCACTGTGAAGGTACTTACAGCCTCTTCAGCTTGTCTCTTGTAAGCTTTAACTTTGGTTTGTAATTTGTCCACCAAGTCCTGCAGCCTGAGAACATTCTTCCGGTCCTCCTCAGTCTGAAATGAAAGAGGTAACAAATAGATAGTGTCTTTATTTGAAAACTCATTATTTTTGTTTATGTGAAAATAAAATATGGAAAACATGGAAAGGCTGGTCACCTGGTAAGTGAGTTCCTTTACTCTTCTCTCATGTTTGCGAAGACCCTTGACAGCTTCAACATTGCGCTTCTGTTCACTTTCGACCTCATTTTCAAGCTCCCTCACCTGGAAGAGAACAAAAGAGTTTAACAGTTGGCTGTAACTAGTGGCATGAACAGGCTGGGAATTGAATGAAGTAGTGGAGACCCACCCTGGCCTCCAGTTTCTGGATCTGCTTCTTCCCGCTCTTCAGGGCCAGCTGCTCAGCCTCGTCCAGACGGTGCTGCAGGTCCTTCACCGTCTGCTCCAGGTTCTTCTTCATCCGCTCCAGGTGGGCGCTGGTGTCCTGCTCCTTCTTCAGCTCCTCAGCCATCATGGCGGCCTAATTAGCAGTAAAGCAAAATCAGTTGAGGAAGCTGAGATAGCACATCAAGATGCAAGTTTGACCACCACTGCACTGCCCTCTGCTCACATCAGTGATGGCCTTCTTGGCCTTCTCTTCCGCATTGCGAGCTTCTTGGACAATGTCCTCCATCTCTCCCTGCAGTTGGGATATGTCTGTCTCCAGCTTCTTCTTGGTGTTGATCAGGCTGGTGTTCTATTTCAAATTAATAAAAAAGAAGAAAAGCACATTTAATTATAACTATCTACATTGTTATTTTTACTAGTGTATACAGGCATAAATTATTGATCATTAGAAATATTTGGAATAAAAACCAAATCAAAAGTTGAGTCTAAGTTTATGCCTTCTCTTCTTTCTACCCACATCTCTGTTAATAAAAATTCTCTTAAATTTTTCTAGATAAAATTTAATTTTTGATACCAAACGTATTTGACTGTTGTCAGTGGCTGCTTGTAAGTATAAAGCACAATCCTGCCCCAAGAAAATATTTAATGTGCTGTACCATGTAGCACCACACAGCTCATGAAAAATGGATTAGTAATTTTTGGTTGTTCATTTACATTTGTTGTCTCTATATTTTAAGTGCATAAATAGCACCATTATTGATACAAAAATGAGCCAAGAGCCTTTCATTTTTGGAAAGTTGACAGTATTTGAAATATTCAATGAATTTAAGGATCCTAATAATAAATAAGAAAAATACTGCATTTTAACTTGATTTTAAAATTATTTGTAGTATGTGATTTTAACTTTTCCATGATGGCTAGTTCCATATATTGTAACTTTAAAAATTATACAATAATATATGTTTATTGTAAAAAAAATAGTAGAACATACAAATTAGCAAAAAAGAGAATAATTATTGTACTCTCACTACACAGGGATAATCATTGATAATACTTTTGTTTGTCCTTCTGGATGCTTCCTGTATATTTTTAACAAAAAAGATCGTGCTTTATATATTATTATTTATGGTTTTTTGGTGAGGAAGATTGGCCCCTGAGCTAACATCTGTTGCCAGTCATCCTCTTTTTGCTGAGGAAGATTAGCCCTGAGCTAACATCTTCCTCTATTTTGTATGTAGGATGCTCCCACAGCATGGCTTGATGAGCGGTGCATAGGTACGTGCCTGGGATCCGAACCTGCAAACCCTGGGCCGTTGAAGCAGAGCGTGTCAACTTAACTGCTACACCACCAGGTTGGCCCCTATATATTATTTTTAAGTTGCTTTTTTTACTTACTATATTGTGAACATCTTTCCATGGCAATAAATGCATACTACAACAGCTGCATTTTAGCCATTGTGAGGATATACTACTATTTGTTTAACAAATCTATTAGAAAGAACAAATGCTGACTAGCACTAATGATGGCCTCCATGAATTTGAACTTAAGAGCTTCTTTCTATATCTCATGAATTTAGCTTTTTTTTTTTTTGTGAGGAAGATCAGCCCTGTGCTAACATCTTCCAATACTACTCTTTTTTTGCTGAGGAAGATTGGCCCTGGGCTAACATCTGTGCTCATCTTCCTCCACTTTATATGGGACGCCGCCACAGCATGGCTTGCCAGGCAGTGCATCGGTGCACGCCTGGGATCCGAACCGGCGAACCCCGGGCCACCACAGCGGAGCGTGCGCACTTAACCACTTGCGCCACCGGGCCGGCTCCTGAAGTTAGCTTTATGTGCATACACGATACATAAATATTACCTGGTGGCTTATTCTTTCTCCTCTATTTTATTTGTTTGTCTATTTGCAGCTTAGAGTTGCAAACAACCAGATGGCCAACAATTATATATATGGTTATTAGTAGGAGTTTTATTTGTGCTTTTTAACAAAAGTTACTAGATCTCTAAACTATTTCAAATCAACATGATTATGCCAGCCCATAAATATACTTGTGAGCCAGCTAGGCCTCAGTACATACTTCTGTACATTTTCCAGAACTCCAGCAAGGGACCTTTGCCAAGGTTACTCCTTACTTTATAACGAGCTTACCCTCTCAAATTGTCTTCAACTTCAGGGAGTGCATTTGCTCAACCATAGTCCTGAACCTCACCTGGGTGTGCAAGAGTTGCACACGCTCACTAGCATCCAGAAGTTCTTGCTCTGCCACTCTCCTGCTCCTCTCAGTCTGTTCCAGGGATGCCCTTAGCTCTTCAATCTCAGCCTGCAGCAGGTTAGCTCTGCGCTCAACCATTGCCAGCTGTTCTTTAAGGTCGTCTTGGCCTCTTATGGCATCATCCAAGTGTAGCTGAGTGTCCTACACAGAAGGAGAAATTGACTCTTACTCATGCTCCAGTTAAAGCAAATACAAATTTAGGGTCATGGACACGTGTTGATCTTAATAACTTAGAGTATGAATGACAAATTTTTTGTAGCCCAGGATAGCAGTTCTACTCAAAAGAACATGATGTTATATTATTTTAGATCCTGAATCATAAAAAAATACCATGAGTAAAGCTATAAAATTTTGGATCAGGAAAGTATCCTTATAGATGAGCTGGTCTAATAGTCTTATATATTTTATATACATTAAACAAATATAGATATGTGTATTTTAAAATATATATTTATATACATCAAACAAATGAAGTCCACATAAATGAAGTGATTTGTGCAGTGGCGTGTAGCTAAACTCTCATCACTTCCTCTGTCTCCCTACCCTCACCACTTTGTCTTCTCTTCAGATGACAAAGGAAACTCTGTCCTAGGCTTTCCAGAATTAAGCTATTTTTCAGCCACGTACATAAAATTTTCAACTGATTACTGTATTACTTAGATGATTTATGGCAAATATTCCTCTAAAATTTAGAATTGGAGTCACACAGTTACACCCAGACTGTATGACACCATGTGTGTTTGTCCCAGTGTACCTTCAGTATTCCTTGTGTGTTTCTAAGATTCTTTATTGCCTCAGTAGCCTGGCGGTTGGCGTGGTTCAGCTGCATTTCCATTTCATTAAGGTCTCCCTCCATCTTCTTCTTGATCCTCAGGGCATCATTTCTGCTTCTGATCTCAGCATCTAGGGTGCTCTGCATCGACTCCACCACTCTGAGATGGTTTCTCTTTAGCTGATCGATTTCTTCATCTTTTTCAGCAATTTTCCGGTCAATCTCAGATTTCACCTGATTTAACTCAAGTTGAATGCGAAGGATTTTGCCTTCTTCATGCTCAAGAGATGCCTTTAAAAAAAGCAACATTGAAGTTACCTAAAGAGCTTTTCTTTTTGCACATTATGATGATTTCTTCAAGAAAGTATTAAAAAAACTCGCAAACTTTCATACATCTTAATTTTGCCTTTTAGTTCTGCATTCCCAAGGTACAATTCGTATTTCTCACTGAATTACATGAGTTATTCTCTAAAGGTTTGCAACATGATAGATCTCAGTTGCTATTAATTTTTCAATTTATTTATAATGCATAGGTGAGCAAACGAAACACGTGCCTCTGCTTCCTCTAGGGCAGCCTGTAGTTCACTCTTCTCTTGATCTATTTGTTTCTTTACTTTCTCCAATTCGTGGATGTGCTTTCCTCCCTCTGCAATTTGCTCAGTCAGGTCAGAAATCTCCTCTATGGTTTAACAATAAAATACCAAATTTAGTTGAGAAAAATGGAAAATTGAAAAGATACCTCTCTACCATTTTTGAAATAGAATGATTACAAAGACTCACGCTGTAAGTTCTTATTCTCTCGCTTTAGTGTTTCAAGTTGGTCCAGGGATTCCTCGTGGGCATTCTTCACCTTGAATAGCTCAGTGCTGAGAGAACGGGACTCCTTCTGGGAGGCCTCAAGTTCAGCCTGAGTTTCTTCATTTTTCTGTTTCCATTCTGATAGGACCTGGAAGTACATCAGAACTAAGCCTCTGTAACCAAGAATCATGCCACTCTCTCCCTAGGAAGCTGGTCACTGTGGGCCACCTTGTCAAAGTTCCTTTGCTTCTTATCGAGGGCTGCACAGGCTGCATTCGATCTCTCCACATCAACCATGAGGTCCTCCACTTCATTCTGGAGCCGCTGCTTTGTCTTTTCTAGAGAAGCACATTTGGAATTCACTGCTTCCATGTGTTCCTCAGCATCCTGCAGACGCTGGGCCAGCTTTTTCCTGAAAAGTTGGTCAGGGTGAGTGACCAAGAGCAGAGTCAAAGTTACCACAGTGAACTTTAAAGCTGCTTACTAGGAAAGCATATTTTCCCCAAGATTTTTTGCTCCTATGTCTACAAATTGCTAAGATTTTCTAAAATATCTTCTCAGTACCCATTTTATCTCTTCGAGAATTCTATTTTCTCTAGCGAATTCTTATTTTTATCACAGGGGTCGTCAAACATGTTTATGAGGCCATTTTTTGTGTGTGTTGTGTTGGTGGTGGTGTATGTGTGTGTGCGCGCGCGCGAGAGAGATTGATTATGAATAAGCGCTTGAGCTGAGTGAGCAATGTAAGGATATGAGGGTGAGGAGGAAGTAACAACCACGAACAGGAGGCATATCATCGAAGAATGTTAGCATTGAATAGGATCCTTAAACATTTTCTAGTATAGTCCTCTTTAGAAAGAGGAAACTGCCGGGCAGAATGATGTGTCCAAGGTCATACAATTAATCAGTAACTTTCTAGGTTTGGTCACCCCAGACAATAAATATTATTCCATTATTACACTTCCCAAATATCCTCCAAAGTCTTACTGCTCTCTTCACCAGCCCACCTAATTCACGACCTCTCTAGCCCACACTCTTATCCAGAATGCTCCCTCTGCAAATGCTTGCCAAACCCTTTCGTTCTGTCTAATTCTAACAACTACTGAGATAAATCAAATTTAGGCAAGCATCCTTCACTAGGAACATAAGGGTTATTTTCCTTCCATGTGTAACTCCCATGAGTTTTATTCCACAAAAACTGTGTGTAATTAGTGAATTAGTTGATTGATACTGATTGTTAGTTAAATGATGACAGAGTATGATAGTGTTATTCTGAACTTTCTATACTCCAGGTCGGAATAAACTGATTATTGTTAATTAAAGTATTCATAATAATGTACCAGAGAGTCTCAATGTCTCCATTTTTCCTTATATTAAAGGAAATTAGTTATCCTTAATTCATAAAAGGTATGCTGATAATTATTAATTCATTTTGATGGAAAGAAATTTAAGATGCTTTTGTAATAGACCTGGAATGGGGAGAGGGCTCTGGTCTTGGTCCATTCTCCAATAGACGTACACTGGACTATAAGGAGGAGAACGTGGTAGAATCTATCACTTTACAATCAAATAGGCTGAAATCCTTCACCTATCTCTATGCCTTGGAATATTCTGTCTTTCATTTTTCCCTTTCTGTTTTTTAACTTTTACTTCTTTCTGCCCCCCTCACTAAGAGCCCGTACTTAGCCTCCTCCAGCTCCTCTGTGCGCTGAATGGCATCCGTCTCGTATTTGGTCCTCCACTGGGCAACCTCACTGTTAGCCTTGGACATTGACCTCTGCAGCTCGGCCTTGGCTTCCTGCTCCTCTTCATACTGTTCCCGCAGCAGGTCACAGTCATGGCGGGCTGACTGCAGGGCGTGAGCCAGGGCGGTCTTGGCCTGGACCAACCAAAAAGTGTGCAATGTAGGTTTACATTCTGATCACTGATATTCTCTATGTGAAGTTCAATACTATTTCATACTGCCAAGTTCAAGTGATTCAAAGTATCAAACAGAAAATTCTCACCTTAGACTCCTCTTCTAGCTGCCTCTTTAATTCCTCAATCTGTTGTGTAAATGCTTGTTTGCCTCGGGATAGCTGAGAAACCAGAGCTTCTTTCTCATCTAGCTGTCGTGAAAATTCACCTGTGAAAGACAAAACATGAGTGATTTAGTTCTGTTGTCTAGGTGAAGAATAATTTAAAGAATGAAATAACATTTGAACTCGCTTATTTCGTATGATGAAAAGAATAACTCAAAAGCTTTGATGCTATTAAGAAGGTTATTTCTTGCTTTTTCAAAAATGTGTGAGCTTTCTTTGATATTTTAGGATTTGGGGATTTTTTTGAGCAGTGCTGAGGCAACAAAAATCTCCTCAGCTTAGGGAGCTTAATTTTTTTCCAATTAGTAGCTTTTAATCATTCTCTTCACCATCTCAAAATAAAAAGATAAAGGAATAACAAATCAATGATAAATGGGTGTACATGGCCAGAGAAATGATTTGTGTTTGCTAGGTACACACAGGTGGAGGCTTGCCTTTCATTCTCCACCTCTCCACAGGCTGCTTATATTCATTTACTGACCTGATTCTGTGTGTAAACGTGCCTTCTGGGCTGACAATTCATTGATTAAGCGTTGTTGCTCTTCTGCCTTTGTCTTCACTTCACTAAGCTGGTCCTCTAATGTGCGGCACATTTTCTCGAGGTTTCCCTGTGGTGGGAAATAGAAAACAGGAGAATATGATATATTTGATATGTTCGTAAGTCTAGGATTTGGAGATCTGTAACTCCGTGTGGAAAGGGGCTGAATTTTATTTATTTTCCTATCTACTTCAAAGCCTTGCACGATGCCTTGGGTATAGAGACGCATAATGTTGGCTAAATGAATAGATAAATGATTGTGAAAATTAGATTATTTTCTTTTGGAAAACATGAACATCATTTAAATTTTGCATCATGTGGAGTAAGGTTTTTAGATTTTTCTTCTGTAACTGCATTCTTTCACAGTGATAGTGACAAAAGTTGAAGTGAATTCTACAAAATCAGATATGAAGACTGAAATGATTCAATTCAATATAGTGATACCTGTTAAAAATAATTTTAAAATTTGAGGTAACATGTAAAATTGGTACAGTTACGTTAGATATAGTCATACATACATCATACAGTCATATAAATATCGATCCTTTTGAATCGTTGCAAGTAAAGATGAAACAGGGACAAGTTAATAAACACCTTGGCTTTGGAGACAGTCTCCATGTTACTAGCAAGGTCATCGATCTCCATTTTCAGCTCGCTCTTCTCCTTCTCCAGTTTCTGCTTGACCCTTTGCAGGTTGTCTATTTGCTCCCCAAGTTCAGCCACACTGTCCGCGTGCTTCTTCCGAAGAGCAGCCGCTGTGGCTTCGTGCTGCAGGGTGGCCTCCTCCAGGTCCTTGCGCATTTTCTGGAACTCAGCCTCCCTCTTCTTGTTCATCTCAATCTGGGCTGAAGTCGCCCCACCAGCTTCTTCCAGGCGCTCGCTGATCTCCTCCAGTTCCTGGGAGAGATCAGTGCGCTGCTTCTCTGCTTTGGCCCGGGAGGCCCGCTCTGCCTCGATTTCCTCCTCCAGCTCCTCGATGCGGGCCTGGGAGTGACATATCAAGGTTGTGAATTCATGGCAGTTTTGATTCCTGTAATGCCCAGAAAAGGTGGTGGGTATGACTTACCTGTAACTCCTTGATCTTCTTCTGCAGCTGCAGTGCAAGGGCCTGTTCATCTTCAGTCTTGCTTTGCAGATTGCTCAGTTCAAACTCCTTCCTGTTAGAAGAGTAACACATTAGCTCGCAGTCAATTCTGTTACCAGTCTTCTTTTATGTATAATCCAATGTCTTTATACTGCTGGTGTTGAGGAAGCAAGCAGTACATGTTTGATGAGTCAATGATGTATGATTTTCATTAAATACAGAAGTCTAAGATGTCATTATTTGTTCTTTTTCCTCATAGGCCGTGAAGTAATATTTTAGAGATCTCTAAAACATATATTTATCTGAACTGACAGACAACAAGCAGGTTACAATTGAATTGTATCATACTCACTTTTTGAGTTTCTCATCAAGTTGCTGTTTGTCATTTTCTACGTCCATTGTGGATTCTTGGGCCAATTTTAGGTCACCCTCCAGTTTTCTCTTGGCTCTTTCTAAGTCCATGCGAAGTTTCTTTTCTTGTTCCAGAGATCCTTCAAGCTAAATTTATAATGGATTTTATTTATTTTGGTTCTTAAGCACTGAACCATATGTTACTAGCCTTCAAAGATACACAGGAGATTTTTAAAAGATACACCAAATAGCATGAGAACTTTATTATTTTCAAACCAGGAGTTAAAGGCTTATGAGCATCATTAATGGTTGCATGTCACAATTGTTTATTTCATCTTAAGAGGAAACACTGTGTTTTTCACACTTACATCATCCACTTGCTGCTCTAGCTTGGTTTTAGCTTTGGTCAGGGTGTTGACTTTGTCCTCTTCTGCCTGCAGGTCATCTAGGGTTTGCTGGTGGGCCTCTTGGAGGGCCTTCTTCTCCTTGGTCAGCTTTGCAATGTTTTCATCCAGGCCTGCCATCTCCTCTGTGAGGTTTTTCACCTTTAGATTTGAACAAATTACAGGACTGTTAATGACATCATGTTGTCTTATTGAAAAACATGGTAATATGTTAGGACAGTGTTAGTCTGACATGGAAAATGGAAACTAGAAGATAACCCAGGCCTACATAGCTAAAAAATATGGGAGATGAAGGTCAAGGTAAATAGATAGAAATGGTGAAGACTAAAGAGATGACATAATTATGACAGTATTTTCCTTTCATATTGCATAATTTTAACATTAAACTTTCACTTAAAATACTTGAGTAACAGGCTAGCACTTGTAAATACTCTGAGATGGATAATTTGTACCTTGTTCTCTGTGGCATGCTTTTCCTTTTCAACCTTGGCCAGTGTCAGCTCAAGATCATCAATGTCTTTCTTGAGCTCTGAACATTCATCCTCCAGTTTCCTCTTCTTGGCTGTCAGCTCAGCATTGATCTCTTCTTCATCCTCAGCTCTCTCAGTCACCTCCTTGATTTTGGCCTCCAGCTGGATTTTGGTTTTAATCAACTGGTCACATCTTTCCTCTGCATCAGCTAAGCCATCTGCTTCCTAAAGGGGGAAGTTAAATATTTTCATTTGTCAAAGCCATATCTGCAAACACACAATAATTTATTAAAAGGTGGAAACTTCAGTGACTCAACCATTTCAGTCAACATATATGCCAACTAACTTGACAACTTTTAAAAATCAAATGAACAAAATGTTAGTAATTTCAATCTACTGATTAAGTATAATAACAGATTTCCTCCAAATATTCATGTGTGGAAGGTCAAATCAGGAAGACTAGGCTTTTGGCAAAATCTGTACCTTTGCTACTTTGGAAAAGTCGTTTATTCATTCTAGGACTCAGTTTTCTCACATTTCAGGGGTGATTAATTTAGCCTTTTTTCTGCCCTGGTAAAAACAACATAACTTCTATTTTATGCACAAAACTAGGAGAGAACAATCTAATATAAAAGAAGGTTTTATAAAGAAAGGAAATGTCTATGGATGTTTTTATGACTTTGCTCGCTGATGACCAAACTATGTGTGAATGTGCATTGAACATATCATAGTTTGTGACTTTGCATCTATTGCCTCTTTAGGCCTGAGTCTTAGTATTTTTGAAAGGCAAACAAGTCCAACAAATGTTTCAGTGGAAACCATTTATTTATAGACTTTAAATTAAAAAAATTCTCATATCCAGTCAGATAGTGATTGTGCAATATATAACACTCACAGATTGAACTTGGAGCTGTAAGTCATTTTTCTCTTGCATCAGAGCTACCATTTTCTCTTCAAGTTCTTTCCTTTTTGCCTCTGACTTAGCCAGCTCTTCTTTGGTCTTCTCAAATTCTTCCTTCATGGTGGCCATCTCCTTCTCAGTCTCTGCACTCTTGAGGAGGGGCTTGATCTTGAAATACAGTTTCATCCAGGGCCAGTGCTTGACGTTCATGAAGGCACGAACATTGTACTGGATGCAGAAGATGGACTCTCTGTAGTAAAGAAAAAAAGATTCAAATGAAGAAGAATGTGGAAATTGACCATCCCTCAACAAAAGTAATGACTGCATGGGATTCAACTATGAAAATGTGAGGAAGAAGGACTTGTACTTGGTCCCTCACCTCCTCTCCATCATCTTCTTGAACTCCACCCTCATCAGGTACCCTCTGCACACCGCTTGAGTGCGTGTGATGAGTTGAGCCAGCTTTTCATCTCGCATCTCCTCTAGAGTTCCCAACAGTCCAGCTTTAAAGAAAACCTTGCCACAGAACAAGTTAAATATGTTATTTCTGCTCATGAGAAAGTACAAAGGTGATGAAATTACGATAGATAGAAATTTGGGTTGGTGGTACCTTGGTATGACCAAATTTGTACTGTGTATGGTCAATGTCAATAGACCCTAGAAGTTTCTCAGAAGCCTTCTTGCTGTCAATGAACTGACCTTCTGGGATAGCACTCGCATTTAGAATCTTGTATCTGTCAGAATAAAAAAAATATAAAAATGTGATTTTTCTTCACTGAAAAAAAAGGTGGAACTCTTGGTAGCTGTCATTGAAAAAGGATAGATTGAGTTTTGGAGAAAAATTTCATTAAAACAATCAAACAGTGTTTTTACAGTGCTTCCCAGTAAAACTTGGGAAGATATGGTGAAAAACTTACAATAATATAAACAAAGCCTTCTTTTTTTTATGTTCACCTTTCAAATAATAGCATTTCATTTTTCGATGAGAAGTTAAAAAATGTTTGAACTATGTGGTGATTTTTTATATAGACTAACACGTTGAAAAGGAAAAATAGTGAGACACAAACCTCTGTTTGAAGTCTGCGTAAAGGATTCTGCTTGGGAATCCCTTCCTACAGATGCGGATGCCTTCCAGCACACCATTACACCTCAGCTGGTGCAGGACAAGTTCATGCTCCATGGCACCTTAAAAAGAGGTATGTTTTCTACATAAGAGTCTAATGAGAAGTCACACTGAAGTCTTATCTGGATATTAGACATGTCTTACCAGGAGTTTTAGTTTCATTGGGGATGATGCAACGTACAAAGTGGGGATGAGTGCTCCTCAAGTTGGTCATCAGCTTATTTAAATTCTCCTGTAAATCCATATGAAAAGTTTTAAAATAATTTCTGTCTGCATCTACATGAGAGTTCCTATCAATGTCCATGGTTAATGTGCCCCCGTTTCACATTTTAATAAGCTGTCTCAATGAAGAGCGAATCACAATGGCCAAGAGAAATCATACATATGGAGTACAGATGGGAAATTATGGATTACACAAAACCAGTCAACTTCAGTTTATGTTTCTCAAGCACTGCCAATCAGAGAAGATGTGTATTAAGACTTTGGTCATATGCAGTAGATAGTGTAACTGAATACAGTGGTTGCTTTTAAGAGAGGATTTGATTTCATGTGAAATTTGTTCAATGCCAGATCTTTTAGAATTGGGGAGTAAGGGGAAAATGATTCATTTATCTTAAGGTTTGATGTGAAGAGACACACTGTGGGTCTTCTTTTTGTATACTTTTTTGTAAGGAATTTTCCAGGTTTTTTAGTACATCATTACTTTCTTCAGTTTCACCATAGATTTCTTTTTAAAAAATTTTATAAAGTTATGATAATTTAATTCTTTTACAAAAGTAATCCTTTGAAATTCAAGAATATACCGTACCCTGAAAAGAGCTGACACTGTCTGGAAAGAAGAACCCTTCTTCTTGCTACCTTTCTTTCCACCACCACTTTCTGAAAAATAAATAGAAAGATTAAAATTATTTGTAATAGCCTTTTAAGTACTATCCATAGACATCAGGACTGCCAGAATTTCCTTTGGAATTTAAATTTGCACTCATTCACTTGTATCCTTCCTATTCTTTCCTATCTTTTCTCCTTCAATTGTAGATTAAGAAAATGTCAGCATTACCTCACATTATAGGCACTGAGGAAAACAACAGCAGACAAACTGTGAGTGAAAAGGGTAGATGTGGGGGAGGGATGGGACACCTCTACTCAAATCTGCAGTCTGTTGCCTGAAGGCAGTGCCCAGGAGACAGGCAATGTGTAACGCCTCCTCTAAGGAGGCGTTACACATTGCCTGAGAATAGGCAAAGCTTTGTGCTTGGTCCCAGGTAGGTGAGCCTGGGCTCACCGGTGGGGAGTCCTGTTTCCTTTTTGCCTGTGCTTCCATGCTGTTGCTTGCACATCTGATCTTAGGGGACTTAAGAGAACAGAACTTCAGTTTCTCAAGCGCTAGTGCCCTGACAAAGGATTTCTTCATTTCCAACTTAGCTGGATCCTTGAGGGAACCAATACTGTTAAAATGGTAGAAATGAGCTGTATGATCGTGAGCAAGTCACTTAACCTCCCTGAGTCTCTGTTTCCTTATTGGTGAAATGAGCTGTGGACTAAACGATCCATAGTGTCAATTTTAGCTCTGAAAGTCTAAGCTCGTAAAACTGTACCACACTTATTACATATACTTCCTTTCATTAGAACCATATCGACCAGTATTTTCGTGTTAGGTTTTCCTATAACTATATCTGTCTCAGATATACAGTATATTTCTATTTTGTGACTCTAGGAACATATTAATGCTATTAAAAATGACCACCTTCTCCAGCTTGTGCCCCAGTGAAAAGGAAAGCCAGAGTCTTCATTGCAGATTTCTGGTACAGGCCAACCACGGTCTCGTTCAGGGGGTCCTTGTTCTTGTCAAGCCAGCCAGTAATGTTGTAGTCCACGGTGCCAGCGTAGTGCACCAGCGAGAAGTGAGCCTCAACCTTGCCTTTGGCAGGTTTGGGCTTCTGGAAATTGGCGGACTTGCCAAGATGCTGTTCATACAGCTTGTTCTTGAAGGAGGTGTCTGTGGCCTTGGGGAACATGCACTCCTCTTCCAGGATGGAGAAGATGCCCATAGGCTAAAAGAATAAAAAGAAGCAAATGCCATTTGAATTTTGTCTGCTTGTAGAAATAATATGTAACATTAGGATCCTATTTGAGTAAATTCATCCTTTAATTCCTATAGTCGATGAAAACTCATGCCTTTGGTGAGAAGTTGTTCATTTAACAAATATTTCTTGAGTGCCTTTCAAGATGCAGGTGCTGTGTGGGGCTCTGATATGATGGAGAGTAAGATAAATGGAGGGCGTTGCTCTTGTGGAGTTTGTGTCTTTGCCCCGAAGGCTTTAAAGCAATATTTCTCCAAGTGTGACTTGCAAACTAGTAGCATTAGAATCACTTGATGAAAATGCAGATTCCAAGGCTCCATCCCATACTTACCAAAAAGTATTTCAAGGGGTGAGATTAGGGAAATCTGCAATTTTGTTAAGTACTTGTAGTGAGTCTTGGGCACAACTGAAGTTTGAGAGCTTCTGCTTTAAAGTACTAGAAATTCGGAGGGAAGTCAAGATGGCGGCGTAAGCAGTCTCTGAACTCACCTCTTCCCGTGGACACAGCCAATTTACAACTACTCGTAGAAAAATTACCCCTGAGACAGAACTGAAAACTGGTTAAGAGGAACTCCTGCAACAACGGACAATCCTAATTGAGGTGGAAGAGGCAGAAACTCCCTTCTGGAGAGGAAAAACGCCGCCTTCACAAGCCGCCAGC